CACCTTCCAAAGACATCAGACTCTCAGGGGACATTTCTGATCCAAACCATAACAATCCTGTGCAATGACTTCGGTTACTGTGTCATTTCATCACGACTCTGTTGTAAAGCAACAACAAGATACTGGAAGACCTCACTGAATCTTGCATGTTTTACTAATGAAATGTGACCTGCCCTAGGGGAGCCATTCCCTTCATATTGTTCTTCAAGTGTTGCTTTAGAAACACGCATGTATGAATTCTTTTTTATTCCTGGAGTTTTTTTTTTTTATTTAATCATGTTTTGTAAGAGCCAGAGTAACATGACTATGGAACACAAAAACCATTACTGTGTATAGTAGGGTATAAGACAATCATTCTGCAATCTTATGAAGTAGTGAGTACATTTTGTAGATCCATTTTCTGATCAAAGTTTGTAGCTTAATAATTGTTCATAGTGCAGTTATAGACACTGATATTATTATACATGTTTTGCATGCAGCAATCCATTGGAGGAAAAAATCTTTTGTTTCATTGCCCTCTATTTTATTCCATTCATACTACTTAGTTTTTTCAGAAGTTAAGCTGCACTTTGCCATGCTTTGGAGACAATGTATTTGTAATTTTTTTAGTATTTCCATTTTATCTGAGATTGCCTAGTGAAGTAGCAGAGCCATAATGAGAAAGAGTAGGATCTATTGAGCATGATATTGAGGGCTTTCAGATGTGCCTTCATGAAGCTTTCATCAGCCTTTTGCAGTTGTGGTTACTGTGTGCACTGAAAATGAGGAAAACAGAATAGTCACTTTCGTAGGTCACACTGTCCATGAGTGTGGCCCAATAGCAATGTGAAACCCAGACTAATCTCTCAGAAAAGATCATGTGTTTTCAATTATTCATTTATTTACTCACACATGTCAACAAAGCATCTTAAAGACTGCATTATGCGCTCCTTCTCCAGAGGATTTCTGTAGATGAGGAGCAGAGACCATTGAGGACACTTAAGAAATCCAATCCAGGACCAAAAAAAGGGAGAATAATGGAAACATCACAGACTGCAGCCTCGGGATTCAGCTCTAACTTCATTCAGGATACATGAACAGGAAAAGCAACCTAGGGAATGGTCAGGCTCCACTGCCAAGTGGATAGGAGGAGATATGTGATTTAGCCATGAAATGAATGAAATTCTGTCATTTATAGCAACATAAATGAAATTTCAAAATGCATTATGTTAAGTGAGCTAAGCCAGACATGCAAAGACAATTATAAAGCACTTCCATTTAGCTTCCAGTTCTTTAGAAGCCACCAATGTTCCCATTTCTAAGTGGGAAGCTCAAAAGTGATTTCACAAAAGCAGAAAATAGAATAATAGTTACCAAAGCCTGGGAATACTGAGAAATTAGAGCAGGTAGAAGGATGGAGAGAGGGTGGTGAATGGAACATGGGGAAGACTGGTAAGAGGAATCATTCCTGTTACAAAGCACAGTATGATAACTGCTTGATATTTATTTTAATACTATAAAATAACATGTTAGGAGGATTTTGAATGTTTGAGCACAAATGGCAAATGTCTTAGTGGTAGAAACCAAGATCTGATTTTTAAATATGGCATTTGTGTATTGAAATGTGACACTCTATAAATATTACTGATGTAATATATACATTATGTATATATTGCATTATGCATATATTATTTCACGCATATGCATAGAGGTCTCCAAGCTCATTGCAAGGAACAGTTTCTAGAAACAGTTTATTTAGAAATGAAACAGTATATATATATATATATATATATATACACACACACACACACACACATACAGATGGTACTTAGATATTTAAATTTATATTTTCTTCTTTTGTTTGAATCATTACTCTGACAAGTAGTATGGTCATTACTATGTGCATGTTAATTTTAATGCCCAAGGACAAAAACCCACCCTCTATACAACATAATTCTGTAGAACGTTGACTACATTATTTAAGTTCCTTGGTGCTATAGATAGATATAGATATATAGATATATATATCTTTTCTGAATATAGCATTTTAGAAGTGTGTTAATATGTAGCGAGACCCTAGACTAAGGAGTTTGAACTGAATGAAGCCAAGGAAAGGACTTTCTGGACAGCAGTTTGGGATTCCTGGAATGCATGCTTAGAGATTACAGCAGAATCTGAAGAACAACAATCAGCAGGATGAAAAAGCACTTTGCTCTCAGAGATGTTTGCTGGGGCCATTGTTCCCCTCCGCCCGATAAGATTACTTAAACTAGGTTGACACGTGTCACCTAACAAACCATCCCATTCTGGACCTGTCCCCTAATCAAAATACCTGTAAAAAATGTTGAAAAATCTTTTCTTGTAGAAATTTGTTCTCATGTTCTTGAGTTACAAATAAATAATCACAGATGTCTCAGCTTGCTTCTTCTCCCCTAAAGCTCTCTTATTTTGATACAGCAAGCAGCCCCTGTGGATCCTGGAGGTAACTGAACTAAAGGCTCCTCTGCATGTAATCTTTCTTATCCTCTACACAGCCAGGGTTACATACTATGACATTAACAGCCTTACATTATCATATGATACAAAGCCAATGCACAAAATTGTTAAGACATTCATAACTGATATATCATGAAAATTCAATGATGTTATTAAAGCATACTATTAGTTTTGTTATCAAGCAAGACAAAATTACTTTGTTAATATTTTTGTCGTATAATCCCAGTATTCATTTATAAAATTAAAATTAACCAGAATACCTCAAACCAATGCATTCCCTCAGGAAAAAAGATTCTTCAAATACTGGGAATTTTATTGTCTTTTTCTAAAAATCATATCAATTTTATTTTAAGAGGTTGTTATATGCTTCTTGAACTTTTCTATTATGTTGAGAGGCTTTTCTATTTGTACTGATAAATCTCTAAGACCTGGATTTCCAAGGCTGCATGGATTCCCTCATTTGAATGCAGTAGGAATCAGGTGTCTCTTTCCCTGTCATTCACCCTTTGAAGCCTGAAAGTCTGATGGGGGATTCTCCTGGGTGTCTTTTTGTGGACTCCCTCATTACTGCTCTGCAAGGTTCTGATGAGTATAGATAAGACAACTTTGCAGTGTTCTCACACACTCTTTCAAAGACAGGATATTTTTAAAACTTCACTTATTTTATTATTAGTCCATGCTTGCGGTACAAAATGTTTACATTCCTTGTGCAGAGTTGGTACAAGTACATAGCACATCTTAATTCCTTTTATATCCTCTTCTTCCTCTCCCATGATTTAAAGCAATGTTTATCCTTAATTATGAAATTAAGCCTTTTTAATTAATGTTATAGTAATTTCTCCTGTGGACCCCTTACAATAGTGTGGATTCTTGTACTGTCTTCCTTGTCAATCCGAGAGGGAGGAATATTATAATCTCCTTGTGCTGGACAAAAGCAGTGAGGAAAAGATGACTTATGCCATATCATACACTGATACCTGAGGAAATAAGTGATCACTGGAGAAAAAACAACCTTAGTAACTGAATTGCAAAGTGATGACAATAAAAACCCTCATCATGTTTAAACATTTTCATTGCATCTTTACCATACTAATACAAGATTATCATCAGACCTCACTTTCTATTCTCTTTTCTCAACCTTGGGTTCTGTCCTCCTGAGATGAGGCCCTCAGTATTGTCAGAACTAGGAAGGACATTCATATATCTGCTGTTCTTCCAGCACTACCCATCATCTTGGTGATCAAAATGTGTACTGAGTTTTATATTTTGGAAATGCAGTCTTTAGATTTTTATTCTCCTGTAGAAGCTATGACTTGTGTAGTGCTTCCTCTATCAGGCTGAACCCAGCCCCTACAATGCATCTATGTGCAAGTTTGCAAGAGCAGAGGGCATCACTGAGGGCCTAACCTAGGAAAGACCTATGTGGTCTTGTTAAACATTCTTCTTCAATAATGAAAGGAGTCCTGGGACAGAATATCCAGAAGGCTTCTCTTCCAAAAGGCCTCCTCAATGGGACTATGGCCCTGGCTTCAGGATCTCTGCTCAGTCTGTTCTGACAAGTTTGCTGGGCTGGGCAGGAGGTCTGGACCAGAGAAAATTTGCCATAAATGTCACAATGCTTTCTCAAGTTAGAAAACTCTTTAAGTATTGAAAATGGCACAAAAGTCCAACTGAAGTAACATCATTTTTTTTTCTTTTGAACAGGTGACAGACACTCTCACTATCAGTTTTTTCTTCCATGAACTGATTTATTTTCAGAATTTTATGAAGATCCCCAAAAAGCTAAGCTCATGGAATATCTAGTAATCTGGCAATCAATGAGAGTGAGAAAAAAATCTGAATTCCATCCTGTCTTACCCAGCAGCTTTGCCTTGGATGGTTTATGATTGCTCAAATCTCTGGGAAATGAAATTATAGAGCTTGTCTTCTTCTCTCTGAGGTAATCAGACAGTTTGAAGAATATAATATTTAAATTGGGACCCAAGTGACCAGGAAATGATATAAAACATCTGTGGGTACAGTTAGCCATCAGAGTCAGTCCTGTTTTCTCTGATAGGGAGGAGTCAGCCTGAGGAGCCCAGGAAGTTCACAGCCTGGGGCCTCAACCCATCAGATTGAAGGCTGGATGATGTAGCTTCATGTGAAGAAGGGTTGGGTCATAGATATGTTCAGGGATACAAGTGCTTATTATCTTGGTTCTATTGACTTGATAGGGTACAGTAGCTACTGTAAGGCTACTGTGTCTTCATTTATCCAGTTACTTTTAGGACCAAAGGAAAGGACACAGAATTTTATTGTAGCTGATGATTCCAGTACCTTGTAAGTCATTTTAAGCAAAGATTTTTCTTGTTGCTGCTGTCATTGTTGAAAAAAGAATCAGACCTTTTAAAACCTGATTTGGGGGCTGGGGATCTAGCTCAGTGGCACCACATCTACCTTGTAAGCACAAAGTCCAAAGTTCAATCCCTGGTACCAAAAAAAAAAAAAACCTGAATTGGAGCTTGTCAGTATCTGAGTATATATGAAAAATTCTGTCTTAATATACAGTAATGGAAAAATGTTCTTTTTGTGCTATTGAAATAATATTTCCTCTTCATATTTAACCTAACCACAAGTAAAAACAAAATAATACTGTATAGGTGAAATTTCCTTTTACTGAGACAAAAGACCTGCAGCATATGACTTACAGAAGGAAACAGTGCATTTGGCTCATAGTCTCAGTCTGCAGTTAGCTCTATCCAGCAGAGAAGCATCATGGTGGAATCACATGATAGAGCAAAGAATCATGGGAGAATCGTATCGTAGAGCAAGCTTCTCACTTTATGGTGCCCAGGAAACAGAGCCCAGGGAAGAGAGCCAATGAGAGACATCCTCTGAAGTCAGGACACAGTGGTCCACCTCCTCTATCCAGGCTACAAGTCCTAACAGCACATTAAGCAATGACCATCAGTTTATTAATCCATTAGTTATTAGGAGCATAACTTCTTCAAGATCCAGTCATTTCTCTAGAAATCTCCAGCCGGTTAAATTCATAATTAACTCATACAAATGTTTACAACAAATCAAATTATCAAGGAATAAACAAATGCTTCAATCAGTCTGAGAAATAAGAGGGAAAAAATCCGATTCCCAGAGCGAAGAGCTCACGAATGTTTGCAGTCACGAAGTCCCCTACGCCTGGGCTGTGTGCCAAGGAAGGAAGCTGAGGAGACCCTCAATGGAGGGAACTTCAGGAGTTACAGGTTCAGAATAAGGAGGGGTCTTCTGGGTGTCTGAACAGAGATCATCGCAGGGCCTTGTGCCCAGATCAGTCATTTCTGACAGCCAGCAACACACAGAGCTATGCCCACAGCTGCATGATCCCACAGTAATCAGTCCGTTTGCATAGTAAAAGATACATACTTTGTGATCTTACTTGTTCTTAGAAACTCCAAGAAGATCCTTTTTATTATTGTTACTTCATGAAGATTATTTGATTGATTTTAAGGGGGGTTGGCCCAAGTGGCCAGTCTGCCAGGACTTCCTGTCTCGCGTGGTCTTCTCCAGGTGCCTGCCGTCACCAGTTTTTGTGCTACCAGACCTGAACGACACAGGTCAAACCTTTTCATGACTCATCACTCAGTGGACTCATGGTACCAGCATGGCTGTGGAGCCCCTTTCGGTGTGGAGGTGGGAAGGGGGTGGATTCAAGTACCTTGTCTCCATGGAGCTGGCTCTGCCCAACACCACAGCAGCGTTCTTCGCAGGAATCAAAATGGAGTTTGGGAACAGTTCAGACATCTGGTGGAGAAGAGCCAAAGAGAGGACCAGTCAGAAGACTGAGGAGTGAGAAAAACTGACAACCCAGCATACACAAGAAGCCTCCGTATGGGTGGTTAGTGTGACACACACCTTTAATCCCAGCACTCTGGGAGGCTGAAGGAAAGGATGGTGAAAGCAAAGCTATCCAGGGCAACACGGGGTCTTACCAAGATCCTTTCTCAAAATAGAAAAGGGGGTGAGAACACAGCCAAGTGTGAAGGCTCCGGGTTCAATTCTCAACCCTGCCAGAAAAAAAGAAAAAACAAAGCCAGAATAAATTGTTTTAGTGAAGAACTACTCAGCACTGTCACTCCCACTGTCTGTACCCGTTGAGTGAGCTTTACCAAGTGATGGCTATGCCACATGTGCAACCTTGGTTGGGAAAATTGGCTGAGTAAACTGTAAACAATAGACTGGTGGGAAAATGGATGATTTTTTTTGCCTCCTGTTTTCCCCTACCATTCAGATGCTCAGTAGCAAGAAAATATTACTCTGAGGAATAAAAATCCATAACCACCTACCTACAGTGTTAAGAAAAAGAATTGTGTTTTGTTGTCAACATTCACAAGTGTTTCAACCAATTGTTATCATGGCTTTATTATTCTGTAATCCCTCATTAGAGATTTCATGACAAGGCACAGTTGCAATGCGTCTACCCACATCTCTACCCACATACTCTTTTCAGTGACATTTGCTCTACCATCCTTCACTTCTTTCTCTAGGTCGGTAGATCTCTGCCCTTTTCCCCATGGTGCTCTAAATCATATTAGTTGGCATTAGACAAACAAATCAAAATTAGGGGAAAATCTTGGTCCAGACACACTCAAAAGTAGAAGGTCCTGAACTTTCAGCCCTCAGGAGGAGTTTAAAGGATTTGCATCCAGACCTTCCTGGTCTGCAGAAGAGACATAAGGCTTGGGTGAGGGGGCAGCATGCTTCTCCTGCTGTGTCCTCCTGCACCTGCCCCAGAGGAAACTGCTCTGGGAGACCCAGACCTCAGGCCCCTGGGGTGGCCTTGCAGAGGGTGGGTGGAGAAGATCAGGATTAGGCAGACTCCGAGTGAAGAGCTGGAAGGGTAGAGCTTTGTAACATGACCTCTGAGTCTGTAGGAGCAGCCTCTGACCTGGGACAGCAGAGTCCAAGCCTCCCTGGGATCTGAGGAGTCTAAGCTGATGAGTCTGTCACTTCAGCCATATGGAATAAACTGGGTGTGAATGCCATGACCACTGAGAGTGACCAGGAAAAGCTTGGAAGACCAGAGAGAGCATGGCCCTTGACAGATATTCATGAGTGGTCTGTAGATACAAATATTTTGCTTTCACTCTATATGTGTATAATACGCTTGAGTAAAATGGTTTCTTAAAAATGTACTACTTGGTAAAATTATGCTACAGCTGTAACAAAAGCACTGCACTGCTGGAAAAGGGTTACACAAATTAGACAATTCACTACTCAAACTGAAGTCCATCACAGCATAATGCAAGTCAGGGCAGGAAGTGAGTTGGGGGTTGGTCTATCTCGTGTACCAGAAGCAGCCACAGACAAACTTTTCAGTGTAGCATAGAGCAGGTGTGAATCACTGTGTCTGGCCAGACTGCACAGTAGTACACACCAGAATCGCTTTCTTCTACATTTCGTACTATGAATTTACAGTTCTTCCCTGTGCCTTCATAAGCATCATATTTCCCTTCTTTGAGTCCTGAATCAAACACAGCTTTGGATTTGTAGCAGTCATAGTAGAGAAGGCGTCGTGGTGTCTGCCCCTCTTGAAATCGGTACTAACTGAAGTCCATCACAGCATAATGCAAGTCAGGGCAGGAAGTGAGTTGGGGGTTGGTCTATCTTGTGTACCAGAAGCAGCCACAGGCAAACTTTTCAGTGTAGCATAGAGCAGGTGTGAATCACTGTGTCTGGCCAGACTACACAGTAGTACACACCAGAATCGCTTTCTTCTACATTTCGTACTATGAATTTACAGTTCTTCCCTGTGCCTTCATAAGCATCATATTTCCCTTCTTTGAGTCCTGAATCAAACACAGCTTTGGATTTGTAGCAGTCATAGTAGAGAAGGCGTCGTGGTGTCTGCCCCTCTTGAAATCAGTGCACGTAGTTCTTTCCTGCTTGGATAGAACAAGTGATTTCCACATATGACCCACGCGGCCTGGTCATTAACACCATTCCCTCTTCCATGCCGGAAGATGTTTGAGTGCCTCCTGTGGAAACATCACAAAATAGCGAGGAAGAGTTAATGGCATCCTTTGGCAAGGCTAAGGGAAAATACCTCAGAAGCACTATGACAAACACTTACCAGGAAGCACGAAGGCTAGAAGCAGGGCCACAGAACACAGCATGGCTTCCTCTCCTCAGCCTTGGAAAAAGGACCAGATGAGAAGAGGGGCAGAAAGCCCTCTCTAAACGCAAATCCCTCTCAACTCGAAGGGATAACTAGAACAAGGAGCTGTCGCGGGTCTTCCCGACTGAGGGACAGGCAGAAGTAGCTGAGGACTGAGAACACAGACCGATAGTGACCCGAAGGGGCGGGGCCTGGGAGGAACCCCTGTCTCTCTGCCTCTGCGCTATCCTGCAGCGCCCCCCTGTGGCATCCAGTAGTAAGTCTTTTCCAGCGGAAGAGAAGCCAAGGGACCTGAGAGCTCTGTACTTAATCAGGCTGAGAGTGAACGTGGTGAGGATGACACAGGCCTGTCCCTTTTGGGAACAATGATTTCCTTGCAGTTCAGTCTCCCTGTGTTAATTCTGTGGATATATTCTTGTCCTGCGATGAAAGCTTTTTTTTTTTTTTTTTAAACCTGAAACACCCTTGCTTGTATGTGTTTATAGACTTGGGCAACCACCAAGAGCGACTCTGATAATCCCTGAAACCAGAGATTCCAGGGAATCCAGAAATACGATGTTGGCCACATGTGATGCTGGCCAAAGTGAAATTGACACGTGCCTAAGCGTAGGAATCAATTTTTTAGAAGAGTTTTCTTCATCGAGTCACAACAATTCTCACATAGGCTTGCAAGATTTAGTTTCAAAAAATTACAAATGTCACTCCAAGGAATTTATTCTGCACGTACTAAATGTTTGTTCAAAATACTAATGAACCTATGCACGCTGTATTTATTTCTCCACATCTTTTTATTAGTGCATATTGATTATATATATATCAGTGGATTTCATTTTGACAGATTGATACATGCAGGTTAAATATTTCCATCATTTTTACCCCTCCCACTACTCTCTGTTCTCTGAAGTTTCCCCTAGCATCACATGTCATAGGCTTGCAAGATTTAGTTTCAAAAAATTACAAATGTCACTCCAAGGAATTTATTCTGCACATACTAAATGTTTGTTCAAAATACTAATGAACCTATGCATGCTGTATTTATTTCTCCACATCTTTTTATTAGTGCATATTGATTATATATATCAGTGGATTTCACTTTGACAGATTGATACATGCAGGTTAAATATTTCCATCATTTTTACCCCTCCCACTACTCTCTATTCTCTGAAGTTTCCCCTAGCATCACATCTGGGGAGGGGGTCAAGGCATATGTGTTGACCACGTCTATCCCCCAATTACCCTGTACCTCCAAAAAGTATACAGATATCTGCAGTTTATTTGGATTCATTGAGGGAAAGACAGATGATCAAACTAGTATAACCACATAATGATAGCACTTAAAATGATTATCCAGATTTTCTCTCACCACATTAATGAATAAATTAAATACATGTTTAAAGAATCCATTATATAATGTGGAAAAACTGTCCCTAATAGGTGGTTTTGGCCTCTGTCAGGTAATTCATCTTTGCCATGGTGACCTCTGGGAAGTTAGCCAGGTAAGGAATTGGGGAGAAAAACATGTACATTTCTAGTCACTAAGATGTGCAAGAAATAGAACAATTAAGAAATGTCTTTTCTACACATTTGTTGTATGGCTAATATCTAAAATTATGTTTGAGACATCTTACAAATGAATAAAATGATCATATTTCTAGTCACTAAGATGTGCAAGAAATAGAACAATTAAGAAATGTCTTTTCTACACATTTGTGGTATGGCTAATATCATTTTAGATATTTTATATGTTTGAGACATCTTACAAATGAATAAAATGATCTTTGCAATAGAAAAAATGGGCCAGGGGTCGAAAGAGGTATTTGTTCAACAAGAAATATCAATGACCATCACATTTGTGAAATTATGTTAGACCCCAAGAAAATGCAAGTTGAATTGAAAAATCTCATTTTCAGATTTCAGTGCTGGGATAGAATCTCTACCACTTCGTACTTTATAACCTGGGCAAAGTCAGTTCACCCGTCGACCTTGGTGTCTCACCTGTTAGGCTCAGTGGTACTTGACCCCTCAAGTGGTGTTCGTAAAGATGAAATGAGATACAATACCTAGTGCTCAACACAGTAACTACTAGAGAAAGAGAACCTGTATTTATCATTGTTTACTATTATTTCTATGACTACAGTAATTGTTATATGCAAATGTCAGATGGATCGATGACACACACCTAAACGAAAATGAATACAAACATTAAAAGCATTAGTTGTATGAACTTCTGTATTTATAATTTTGAGATGTGTGCATTATTTTAAAGTATGAAAACTAGTTGCCAGAAAATAAAATTGATTAAAATTTGTAAAACTGAATGCCTCATAACCAAAATATAAACAGGAAACATAAATACATACCATATATTTTCCCTATGCATGAGGGCAAGATTTATTACTATGAAATTGGATAAAATGTTTTGAATAAATGAAGCAAAGTAAAAACGTTAAATATAAATAAGATTTTATTAGTGTAGGTGAGGAATAATGAACAATGTAGAATGGAGTCTAACAATCTTCAAAAGCATCTTGCCTTATATTTAGTCTTTGGATATACATAGAGATTTTCACTGTATAAACAAATACATATTTCAAAAGGCCGGTTTCAAAAATTAAAAAATGCTGAAAATAAAATTGATTAAAATTTGTAAAACTGAATGCCTCATAACCAAAATATAAACAGGAAACGTAAATACATACCATATATTTTCCCTATGCATGAGGGCAAGATCTATTACTATGAAATTGGATAAAATGTTTTGAATAAATGAAGCAAAGTAAAAATGTTAAATATAAATAAGATTTTATTAGTGTAGGTGAGGAATAATGAAGAACAATGTAGAATGGAGTCTAACAATCTTCAAAAGCATCTTGCCTTATATTTAGACTTTGGATATACATAGAGATTTTCACTGTATAAACAAATACATATTTCAAAAGGCCAGTTTCAAAAATTAAAAAATGAAAACTAAAATAAGCTACCTATCAAAGTTAGTATAGAATATAATTACTTCAAAGCACTGTCTTACTTGTAAACCTGAAAACAAAAGAAAGAAAGGAAGAAAGAGTGAAAATTTTAAATTGTATCTGATGAGCCGAGTTATCGTTAGTACTTAGGTATTGTTTATATTTACTTAGGTATTGTTTATGTTTATCTTTGGGTTGATACTACAAGGAGCCAAACCTTCAATGCAAGATTTAAAAAAAGCAAATACACAATTTAAAACTTTTAGTAAAAGTCTTCAAATCTATACATGTTTCTGTTTTGAATTTTCTTTTTAGGCTACCTACCAGAAAATCTAGACTGCAACAGCAATCTACACATCCCAGCAGCCCTAACACCTAGACTGAGGTATCTGAAAGCCACTTCTCCCTAAAGTACTAGGGCCGGGTTGAGCAGTGGCTGGGGGAATGGGGCAAGGTGATCCCGGAACATCTTGTCTACCTGAAACTAAAACAGCAGTCCGGCTCCACTGAGGCCGAGCAGCACCAAAGCCCACTGCACTGGCTCTCACTGGACCTAGACGTGACATGGTAAGCAACAAAGGTATTCACAGAAAATTTTTTAAGAAGTGTAAATATTTCATCATATAACTAAAAGATAAAAATACCCCAGGAGTTGCTAAGGGCCTCCAAGTTGTCATCTCACTCTGAACATAGAGATAAGATTACTCATCAAACATTTAACTTGCTGCTTTTGTACATACTGCTGCATTTCAGGGTGCCCACGGCTTAAGAAGGAAAATTGTTTGTGGAACAATTATGACCAGTAAATGTAGGAAAAGTATTAAAGTTGGGAAATTTTCATTGGGCAAACTGGGCCACCATCAAGAACTGCTCACTCTGAACATAGAGATAAGATTACTCATCAAACATTTAACTTGCTGCTTTTGTACATACTGCATTTCAGGGTGCCCATGGCTTAAGAAGGAAAATTGTTTGTGGAACAATTATGACCAGTAAATGTAGGAAAAGTATTAAAATTGGGAAATTTTCGTTGGGCAAACTGGGCCACCATCAAGAACTGGTTTCTAGGTCCCTCACACATGGGCTTTTGCTCCCTTTTCACAGTTCTGTTTCCTTGCCTAGCTACCACTTTCTCTGTCACTTTATACACTTCTGTCTACTTTTCCTTCTTTTTTTTTCTATTTCCCGTTGTTGTACATGTTTTTCTATTTCTTGGTCTGAATCTCCCTTTCCAACTTTCATTCTCCTTTTCTGTCTCTGGATTCTCTCTACCTCTCTTCATATCTGTCTGTAGGTTTCTACCTCTTAATTTCTGTATTTCTCATCTTTTTAAAATTTCTGTATTTCTATCATCCCCCCATCCCCAGACATATCCTATCTTTATTGCTATCTTTCTCTATTTTTACCTTGGCAACTGTCCTATTTCATTTACCATCTCTCATTTCTGTTTACCT